TTGAAACAACCAGCTGGATAATGTCCCCAAAAAACCCTAGGTGTAGTGGGGAATCATCGCTTTCGGCGGGAAACACCCCCTTAAACTGGGACAACATTACCCAGGGACCCTAGAGACTTGTATCCTAAGAGAGCTTTCGCCGGTCGTTGACTCCTTCGCGAATCTCTCTGCGTTGCCCGGGCGTGCGTAGCTCAATCACATGGAAAAAGGCTTGGTTGCGGTTGACCCCCCTGCAAAAAGTTTCATTTTTTGGCGGTTTAGTGGAAAACCCCATGATTTCCCAAAAAGTTGAAGTCTAAAGATCCAACCCAATAGCAGTCAAGAAATGGTCTTAGTCTTGCAAACATTCCGCGGGGTCGACAATGGCAATCCCCTCTCACCTATCAACATGGAACCTGACAGGAACCGGGTGCCTTTAGCAGGAAAATGGTCCAAACAAACCCCAAACTCAGGTTCCGTTAATGGGTGGGAGGGTATACTTGAGGGGCAAGTGCCCTGACCGCATGTAACTCCCAAATCAGCCGGATGCGACAAATGAGCAACGGGCAATATACAATCAGCGCCCCACATCCCTTCACTTGCACTACAGCTCTACCAACATTGTTATAAATATGAAAACTAACACAGGAACAGATTGACTAAAGACAAGGGTGTTCTCTGCAAAAGAGCGCACCATGGTCACAGAATCGTCCCTGAAGAAACTGGGAAGCAGTTGGAGGTAAAGGGAAGACACCTTGCCCAACTAGAGAAGGGGGCCTAAGGGGGGCCAACAAATCATCCTGAAACCTAAAAACATCCAGACCCTCCGACGATTGCGGGTGTGGGGTCGCCCCACAACCGTCCACCCCAACTCTTTTAGTCCTCAGTGGATTGTCCAGAAAGAGTCCAAACTGTTTGTTTCCCACTATATAGAATGATTCTAAATGTCTTACCAAAAAGTATAAAGTCCAGGAACTCAGGAAGCGAGCTAAAGCTCTTCCGGGGTATACCTTTCCCTTCTCTTGAGTTAAAGTGGACCTCTCCGCTCAGCTCCCAACGTGGAAGCTGAACAACAATTTGCCTGGGATCCTCTTCCAGGTTCCTTCGGTACTTCATCGCGATATCCGGGCGCGTAGGCGTTTGAGAGACCCCCGACTCTGGGTTGCTCCCTCCGCACCCAACGAAGCAAAAGGCTGTTATGGCCCTGGCTGAAAAGCAACTTTCAAAAAACTTTGTCCTTGTGCTGCGATTCGGCCACGCCCTTGCGACCGGATCGCCACAAACTGCAAAGGTTCCTTTGGCCGAGCTAATAAATTGTTGGTAGCCTAAGGTACGATCAACTCACCAATAACAAGGTTAACTCTATTAAGGGGGACTTATGGGCAGGTGACAGCTTGGGCTACTAACAGCTTACTGACTTCGCCAAACCCTCAAGCAGGGACTCATGACCATGGCAACTGTAAGGCCTTTGACAATCGAGTATGATGTTGAACAACCGGGGGCAAGCGGGCGACCATTTGCCGATTCCATTTATCTAGTCTTCCCCATGAAAGGGAAAAATGGAACTATAAATGGAGATCTCCAGGGGTCACCCCCTCCCCCCAATTCCATTTTTAAGGGGGGCGGGGATCTTCCAGGGGTCACCTCCCCACCCCCACCCCCACCCCCCCCTGGCCGGGGACCCATTTCGGAGAGAAAAAAACCGACTCGGTCCCAAGCCAAAGCGTTTTTTATCCCAGCGCCCCATATCTCGCCGAGCAACCCCTCTGCTTACGCCGGATGCCACAGGCCCAAAGAAGCGCCTGACGCGCCGGCTGGCGCTTCACTTCATTCCCAAGCCACCACTCACACCGACTCCAAGAAACCTGATTTGGGTCTTCTTGGATCAGAGAGGTCAAAATATGTTTCCCCCTTCTATATCAAACCAGCATGGCATTGGGCCAAACTTGGTCGACGTTGGGTTTGGGCAGAAAAACAAACTCACAATTTAGCAGCTAAGCGGATTTGGAGTTCAACCAAACCACAATAAGCAAAAATGCAAAATGTTTCCCAACAACAACCATGCACTGTGGATCGACGAAATCCTGCACAACCTAACACACCCTGGAATGATGATTGCCCTGTATATACCAACAATGGTTTCCCATACACCATGACCCCTTTCTGGCGCAAAGCCTTAGGTTCGAAAGGGCAAACCGGCTCTGTACACGTCGTTGTGATGTTGTTTTTCTTTTTTTCTCCCTCAGACACAGTTGAGGTACTTGGGTGTTCGACGTACTTGCGTGCTCGATTCAAGCTAGCAAATTGTTAGAAACATCTGCTGGGAATGTCAGCCCCAGTTTGCCCGCTGTTTCCACCAGCCCCTACCCAAGTTACCTCCCGCTTTTACGTTCCCCAAAGCGTAGAGTTCACCTTGGTACTCGTGTTTTTTTTTTTTTTTTTCAGGTGGCCAAGGACTCGCGAACTTCGCACATCCAAGGCTATGGCACAGGTGTCTGTCTGGGTCCTGAACCTGTGACAGCTCAACATATGGGGGCTGGGAAGGAGGGAGGGGGAGGGAGAGGGAGCCCAAATAAGCCCTAAATAAGGTTTTAACAAGGGTTTTTGGGGCTCCCTCCCCCTCCCTTCCCTCCCCCCCAGCCCCCATGAACATCCTCTTGTATGATCTTTACCCCACCAACGCAAATATGTTTTTCTGATTTGTTGGATGCCTACATTCAACATTAAGACTTTAAGAACAAACCGCCGAATACTCACTGACCCCGTAATCTTCAAAGCACAAGTTCAACTTGTTATCTACTGGTTTGGTCTCCAAAGAGAGTTGACAAGTTGTTTTTGGTCCAGCCAAAACATCCACTTCGAAGCATCTAGTTGCCAGCGCAAAAACCCCGAAACCGAAATGGACCGCGCCTCAGCAGCAGCTGTAAAGACGGATTTCATGAGACCTTGGAGCCAGATATAGGTTAGGGTGTGGTTTCCCATTTACCCTCTACAAAAACCAGAAATTCCCCTCCCCCAGCCACCAATTCGAGGGACGCTGACCCCTCACGTGAGCGGTCCCAGTCGCGCGCTGAGCGCCAGGCCTTGAGAGGTCTCGGGGATGAGGAGGCTCTCAACCTTCTGTCGAAGGTTCTTCGGCGCAGGAGCACTTGTCTCAGATGCCCAAAGGACCTGGGAAATTGTTCTAGTGCATTGGGGCATGGCAAAATATGGACCCAACATAGGAAACTGCAACAAGTCGATTCGCTTTGGGCAAGTGAGCTGCAAGCAAAAGGGGATAATGAAAATCATGATCTAGCTAGAATCCAATATGCAGCTGCTCAGCTCAGGCGCGGTTGCTTGTTGCCGTCGAGTACACTGTGGGCAAACTCAATGCCGTATGCACTGCATCTGCTGCTGTCTGGGTACTGTTCTCTGTGCGAAAAGCTCAAATGGCAGGCACGGAATCACGAAAGGGACACTCAACGTCTGCCTACTTAAAAGGGGCAGGGTACTTGGTAAGTGCGTAATAACCATGGTTATAACCCACAAAAGCCATGGTAAGTCTCCTAAGCGGGGACAGGCTTACTAACCACTTATATGAAGTACCCTGCCCCTTTAAGTAGCCATAGAACCACTCACACCGACTCCAATAAACCTGATCAGTTGGTCTTCTTGGATCAGAGGGGTCAAAAAAATGTTTCCCCCTTCAATATCAAACCAGCCTGGGCCAACCATGGTCTAATGGTTGACGTTGGAAGGGGAGCAACAAATCAAAATTTAGCAGTAAAGTGGTTAAATTTCAACCACAAATCCACAACAATCAAAAATGTAAAATGGTTCCCAACAACAACCATGCAAACAGGTGATGTTGAAATGCAAATAACAAGGAGGACGTTTCAGAATCGATGCAAATGGTAAGCAAACTTCATTTGAGTCACGTGCTCAAAACCCGGTATTAAAATGGTCGTAATCCCAGAACCATGCTTCAAGAACTAAGAAGGCGGATATTCGCAACTTTTTCTGGCTGCGACTGCCCCTTACTAACCGGATCATCTACCCGAATCGGTTTTGAGGACGTGGCTCATTTAACTTCATTGATGACACCAATGATGGTCCAATCCTCGCAAACCAACCACCGAGCATCTGTAATCTGATTGATGAACCGTTTGTGGTCAATGCTCCCCAAATTAACATAGAACCCCAAAAGCGATATGTGTTGAGATTTTTTTGTTTAGTCCTGTTCGTTTGGGCTTCCATCTTAAGTTGCAGAGGAGTACTGAGTGGCAAAGAATCAACGCTTCTCCATGCTTACTTGTCAAGGTTCGATGGAAGATCTACCGCGCAAAGGCTCTACCAAAGACCAGCATGAACATACCCGAGAGTGTGCCCAAAGCGCGTCCAATCATGCCAAGCTGCCCCCAACCCACCAACACCCAAAAACACTCCTCATGGAGTCCTAAATAACGTACAACCATTTGTACCCATTGTCTGACTCGATTTACTCCCCAGTCTCATCGACCAACAGGGCAACCAGTGAGTTCACCAAGAAGAAGAAGAAGAAGAAGTTTTTGTCGTGCCTTGTTTGGAGAACAAGCACCCCCCAGTGAGTTCACCATGGAAGAGACTCCACGGTCGCTGGCCACGTTTCCTCTCCCGCCCTCGACCGTTATCTCTTTACTGTGAGACCCCGGAGTGGCTCAAGGCTGTGTTGTCCGCGCCTTACCATTAGGCTACACTCACGGATCATGTAACAACTATCGTCCTTACAACGTGTAACTCATGTTGTTACACACCAGCCAAGATACTGCAACAATCCCAAAGGGTGCGAGTACCTCAGATTTATGGTTTTGGGTTTTGGTTCGCTTGGGAATTCGTCAAATGCAGATTCTTCAAATCTGCAATTTTGGAGGTTCCAAGGGACCCTCTGAGGATGGCAATTTGTTCTTCAGTCCGAGCCATTCCGAGCTTCCGTGAAAGAATCCTCACGAGCTGAGCGTAGGATTGCAGGGCTGCCTTGCTTGGCATTCCCTTTTCGCTGCTCACGCAATCCTCGGTGCCAACGCAACAGCGTGGATGACGTGCTTGGGTGGTCGGCCAAGTAAGTGGGTACTACGGGGACTTGTAAGTGGGTTACAAGCCAGGCTGCTCGCAACTTAGTTTGCCGAACATCCCAGCGCTTGCGAAAATGGCACTTCCTTGAAGCAAGCTGATGCCCTGTTTGAAAGCAAGCCCTTGCTGGAGGGGACCCATCCCTCATGCCCAGTAACCATTGGGAAAAAAAGGGCGTCTTTTTTGGGGGGTGGTTGACTTTCAAGGGGAACCCTTCCCCAAAAAAAGGAAACACGGGCACCACTGGGCAACTGGGATTCATATCTCCCATCTCCTGATAACTCCCTCCGTGCTTGACTCCTTGACTTCCCGGCCAACTCTCTTTTTAGGGTTCACAGGGGGCTCCGGCTCGATTCTTTCGCTGTCATTGGTCCAAGGTCCATGGACAGGATTGTGGGGGATACACTTGGTTTCCCATTAAACAAAAAACAAAGCACGCCAGGTGAGAGGACCCCGCCCAAACAACGAGTTGGCCCTCCTCCTGATTACATTGAACCGGTTTTCTAATTATCCATTCAAGCAAATACTTAAACCACCAATGGGAACAAAAGCAAACGTGCAACAATCACAAACATAAATAATTACGCAAGCAAGCAAGCAAGCAAACAAGCAAGCAAACAAATACACACAAGAAAACAAGCAAGCAAGCAAGCAAGCAAGCAAGCAAACAAGCAAACAAACAATCAAACAAACAAACTAACAAACACACATAACACAAGCAACAAGCAAACAAGACACAAGACAAGCAAACAAACAAACAAACAAACAAGCAAACAAACAAACAATCAAGCAAACAAAGAAACAAACAAACAACCAACCACACAAGCAAGCAAACAAGCAAGCAAGCAAGGAAGCAAGCAAGCAAGCAAGCAAGCAAGCAAGCAAGCAAGCAAGCCAGCAAGCAAACAGTCAAACAAATAATCAAGCAACCAACCAACACACCAACCAAACAAACAAACAACCAAACAAACAAATAAACAAACAAACAACCAAACACACAAGCAAGCAAGCAAGCAAGCAAGCAAGCAAGCAAGCAAGCAAGCAAGCAAGCAAGCAAGCAAGCAAGCAAGCAAGCAAGCAAGCAAGCAAGCAGTAGCAAGCAAGCAAGCAAGCAAGCAAGCAAGCAAGCAAGCAAGCAAGCAAGCAAGCAAGCAAGCAAGCAAGCAAGCAAGCAAGCAAGCAAGCAAGCAAGCAAGCAAGCAAGCAAGCAAGCAAGCAAGCACACAGTCAAACAAACAATCAAACAAACAAACACACATAACACAAACAACAAGCAAAGAAAAGAAGACCAACAACCAAACAAAGAAACAAACAAACAACCAAACACCAGCAAGCAAGCAAGCAAGCAAGCCAGCCAGCCAGCCAGCAAGCAAGCAAGCAAACAAGCAACTAAGTCAAACAACCACAACATCAAACACAAGCAAAGTAAACAAGACAAACAAACAACCACAATGCAAGCAAACAAACAATCAATCAATCAATCAATCAATCAACTCAGAAAACACAAAACACACTAAACAAACAAACAAACAATCAAGCAACCAACCAACACACCAACCAAACAACAAACAAACAAACAAACAAACAAACAAACAAACAAACAAACAAACAAACAAACAAACAAACAACAAACAACAAACAAACAAACAAACAAACAAACAAACAAACAAACAAACAAACAAACAAACAAACACACATAACACACATAACACACATAACACAAACAAGCAAGCAAGCAAGCAAGCAAGCAAGCAAGCAAGCAAGCAAGCAAGCAAGCAAGCAAGCAAGCAAACAAACCAAACCAAACAAACCAAACCAAACACGCAACCGAAAACAAAACACGCAAACAAACAGCAGAAACAAAACAACAGAAACAGACAAGCAATGAAACAACAAACAACACACACAGTCACACAAACATTCAAACAATAATCAAGCCAACAGGCAACGATAGGCAAACAAGCAAAATCATCATAATGATAAACACACACAACGAATTGACCGCGCATCCAATTCCAAGGTTCCGATACTCGATCTTCCCGGCAGTGGTGGTGTACCTCACGGGAGGAAAGAACGTACATGAGCAGGGAAACTTTCTGGGTAAAAAAGTCTACCAGGTAACCGAAGAATGGAAGCCCTTGCTTTCCCATGGAAGCCCTTGCTTTCCCTTTATTGGGTCGAAAACAGTGCTTCAGGTTGGATTTCTTTTGGGTTGGTCGTTGATGTTGAAGGAAAGACCCATCATCAACACCCTGGGATTCATTCAGGGTTCATTAAAACAATGGCTGGCTTCATATCTGACCAACTTTGTTCACCTGCGGATCGTCATCATCTAAATTGGGTCAACCGTTCTTGTAAGGGGAGCAGAACCCTATGTTCAGCTTCCCCGATTGGTGTTTTGGTGGTTCAGGAGGAGGTTTCCATTTACCATCTACAAGGAACAACCTTCGGTTCAATTCCCCAAACCACAAATTTATTCAAACCACCAATTTGGGGTATCCTGATATATATATATATGTACCCTGATATATATATATATATGTACCCTGACATATATATATATATAGGGCAAACGAGTTAAAGCAAGGAAGTGCCCCACAGTTCTGGCTTCGCACCTCGAGGCCTTGTAGGGCGTGTAGTTGATGCTGCTCACATCACAGGCATCCAGGCGAACGCCTGCGTGATTGAGGCATTGGAGCTCACGAAACCCATGTGGCCAGGTCGAAAAAGTTGTTCACCTCAAAAATGGCCTGCCCCCCCAAAGGAAAGTCCTATGAACTGAGGAAGCTAGGGAAGGTGCCCTTTTGCAGGGACATTGGAACTCACGAAGCCCATCGACTGTCGAACAAGTTGTTCATCGCTAAAAAAATGGCCTGCTGCAGCGTTGACGCAGAGCCCTGTGTGGACAAACAGCCTGCGCTGTTTAGTCCAGGTGCTAGTGGCACCTCATCGGAAGTCACAATCACAATCACAATCACTGCCCCCCCCGAAAGAAAGTCTATGAACTGAGGAAGAGAGGGAAGGTTTCCTTTTGCGAGGAAATGCCGGGCATGCCAACTCCATATCACAAGAGGACCAACCATACTCAAGCATAAACCATTTCAAATTGGAAGGTTACCTTCTTTCCTTACTTGCAATATTCAGACTCAAGGAAAACAAATGGGTTGTTGAGAAAACGGCTGAACACAATGGCAAATCAACGCCTAGAATGCTGCGTGCCCCTGGACCCCTCCCTCCAGCAAGCTGAAATCGGCGCCCTCTGTGCTTCACCAACCCAGTGCTTCCAGCTCCAATAAAATAGTTAGGTAACCCTTCGGTATCTTTCCCTTTAGGCTCTACATGATGAGTTCTCCTGGAGACCTGTGACTGGAAGCATTGGCCAAACTAACCGAAAAAGAAGAAACAAAAACTGCTTTGGTTGTTGAACCCGGCTCTTAAAAGTTACCTAATCGGCTGGTGTGATCGTTCCACTCCCGACTAACAGCCGGAAGCTCTCAGAAGGCCTCCGATGAGGTGCCGCGAGCTTCCATGTTCGTCTGGTGGAGGGTAAATGGGGCATGTTCCATGTATCTCGTCTTCCTTTACAAGGATGGAACCAACAATGGAATTCCTGGCAGGGGTGACCCCAACTCCATTTGTAAGGAGGTGGGTTTGACTCGACATAGAAAATAAAAGCCCGCAAAATGATATGTTGCATTCTTCCATTTACCAAAAACAAACTCCGGTAGTGATAGGTTCCCTCTAATACAAAGAGGAAACAATCAAATCTATTCTCCAGCAAAATGGAAGCATGTGGTTTCCCACACAAGGCGCCCCTTTCGCAGTTCCGCGCCTGAAATGGCCCAGCCTTTGATCACAAAGGCCTAGCCATGGCCGGCGGTGTGGCGTTTTCTGAACGCCCGTGCCCTTGAGACATGGAGCACTACCTTGATACGGATCATGGGGGCTGGGGGGGAAGGGAGGGGGAGGGGGAGGGAGCCCAAATAAGCCCTTATTAAGCCCTTAATAAGGCCTTATTTAGGGCTTATTTGGGCTCCCTGCCCCCCCCTCCCTCCCCCCCAGCCCCCATGAACGGAGGCTAGGATCTCTATGATAAGCACCATGCTTATGGCCAGGGAGACTCCAAATACCCCCACCAGTGCTCGGCAAATTCGGATACCCCGCTCCCTGGCTCCCTTTCGGCTTGCTTTTTGGGAACTTTATCGGGAAACCTACCTGGAATCTCCATGACCCTCGTAAAATGGGCTCATGACCCAAATTCAGGGGTCATTGGCCCATTTTTAGAGGGTCATGGATACTCCAGGAGGAAACCCTTCCCTTTAAAGGTTCCGAAGCCGAATTCCTCAATGTCCCGTCCCCAAAGATCGGCAGCTTGACTCTCGAATGGGGGAAGCGTCTCAAAATCGGAAAAGCCCTCCCCAGAATGGAGTGTTCTCCGTTTGGTTTCCCTTTCAACCCCAGCCAAAAAGGGGTTCCCCAAAGATACTACATATCATATCACCTAATTCACACGGGGATCACGAAAATTAGCTTACAAACACTGAAAAATATTGACTTGACTATGGCCCATATGGGTTTGTCTCAAAATAGGAAAGCCCAACAAACTGTGCTCCTTTTTAGTTTCCCACCAAAAGGTACCTGCAATAAGAACACACACCCATATTTGCTGAACCTTTAAATGCAACATTAGTTCAAGAGAGATCCCCAAATCCTGAAATAGAGCACCCTCCAAAACAGCCGCGGCAAAATGGGGGACCCCTGCCCAGAAATCGAACGTTCTTTGAGCGTTCCCTGTGCTTCTCCAATAAAATCATCGTCCCCCGGCTCCAGAAAGGTGACCTTTAAACCCAAAGACTTGGAGTCAAACCAGCATTAAAACCAAGGGGTTGCTATATAGGCACCGTTGTGGTAGAAGACATATCGTTTGCTTTGGAGGCATAGCAGGGGGAGCCAGGGGAATAGCAACTCGGTTGAACCCTACGGCAAAGGAGATACATACTGCGGATGGACGAACTCCATTTCGCACCCCCGTTTCAGAAACCCAAGGGAATGATTCGATTCAACGTAAAATACCAACAAAAGCGTTAGGGTTTCAGTCGGGATTGTCTGACTTCTTGCAAGGGACTCCCTTTGCTTGACAAACAACCTGGACCCCCCAAAAGACTCCTTATTTCTGCCTTTGTACCCCTTTTTTATTGCCCAGCAGCTCCCTCAGCATCTTTCCAGCAATCAAAGTTTGCGGGTTCCGTAGGCAGTGTGGCCACATGACTGCAGCTCACAGGCAGAAGCTCCTTTCACTCGAGGGGCACCACCAAGAGTGCCATGTTGCACACATCCACGCGGGACGCAACGGCAGAGAGAGAGAGAGATGGGTCCTTTGGGCAGAAAAAAGAATTGGATCGGTCCTTTGGGGGTCCTTTGGGGATCGGTCCACTTCCCCCAGAAAAACTCCCTATACTTGACAAACAACTCAGGGGGGTTTCCAACTCCAAACCCCGCGGATCGGAACTTCTCCGAGGCCGGCGCCAGTTGAGCCGTGGGCTTCTCCTCTGAAGGGATCTGCGGCGTGCCGTCCTCGAATGGATCGGGATCGGCGAGTAATTTCTCAACAGCAGGGAATGAGCTGGAATGACCCCGATTCAAGCCATCCAACTGGTGGCTTCCTCTAAAGGGACCCCAGATTTCATTTCTAGGGTATGATGCAACAGTTGTTTTCAACCATCGTTCTTTGCAAAAACCAGCTGTTTCCAACCTGGGTTCTTGATGGTTCCTGAAAAGAAGGATCGCTGGAATGGGGAAGCTTCTCCTAGAATGACTACTCACAGGGTCATATGGAGCTGCATCGGAAGTGCTTGGACCTCAAAAAGGGACCTTTCGGAGCTCCCAAGATTCTTTTAAGGTTGGCCACATATGGGCCTTCCTTTTTTGGTAGGACCCGAGAGTTCCTTCCTTTTTGTAGGACCCGAGTGTCCTGTTCGAGGTCCCAAGATTCGGCACTGTCGACCCGCCTTGGGGTCAGTGCCGTAGTTCAAAGTGCCCTCGGCCTTGCATTCCTGGCAGCTCAGGGCTCCAAAAGGCGGCGCTCCAAAGGTCCGCCGCCAAAAAATCCGCGGCAAACACGAGGATCCGTTTGAAACCTTAGGAGCTACCTTAAATTCTTCAATTCGCCTCCCCCTGCAGGAAAAAAACAGCAATCCTAGAGGATTCCCTTTTAAAGCAGGTGGTTGGAATGCTTCAAGGAACCCTACTCAACTCTGTCCTTTGGTTGCTTCACGTTGACATGGGCCTGAGCAAGCCTGTTCCAAACCTTATAAGGAGGTACCTTAAACACGTTAACACAACCCCCCCCCAGAAAAGAAGCGGTGTCTGTTTCCGAGAGACACTAAAAGTTAAAGGGGCATTGTGCTTAGTAAGTGGTTCGTAAGTCTGGTTACAATCCACGTACCACGGTTGCTAAGTCTCCGTTCAGTGGGTTATCTGGTTATCTCACCAGGCTTACTAACCGCTTGCCTGACGTACAATGCCCCTGTCAGTAGGCAATTGGGTATTTGTAGAAGTTCTATTTTCCCCTGTGGAAGGGCCCCCCAAGTTTGACGATGGTTTTGCTGGCTACCCCAAAATGGTCATGCCTTTGTCCTCTGTCTACCTACACCCCGCATGTCCCCCTGTGTGGCTATTACCAATCTACGGCTATATGGGGTTGTCCGTTTTTAGAGGAAACCTGTTTTGACTGATGGTGCTATTTCGCAAAGTTAGGCTTTCTTGAGAAACACCCAACTGGTAATTACTCCCTGGCTGAGTGGATGGCCCAAACAAAGTCTAAACTTTATATTTACCACTAAAATGGTCTTCCCAAAAAGTTTAAAGTTCATGAACTCAGGAAGTGACTCAAATGGTAAATACCTGCACCCCTCTGGGACCAAACGGTAGCAACTGCCCCGCGGTTGAAAAACCTGGCCGCTTGCCTGGCTCGCGAGCTTGCCGAGGTTCCAGATCAGCACCTGTGCAAAAGTGGATGCCGTGTGGTTTCTGGGGGAAAACAGCCACACGGCCTGTTGTGCTGTTTTGTGTTAGTTTGTTGTTGGTTGATTTGTTTGGTTGGCTCGCCGGCCGGATGTGTGGTTAATGGATTATTTGTTGGCGTCTTTGTTCTCTTGATTGTTTGACGGTTAGTTTGACTGATTGAACTTGTGATTGGTTGTTTTTTTGTTTGGATATTTGTTTGTTTAGTTGGTTGGTTGGTTGGTTGGTTGCTTGCTTGCTTGCTTGTTTGACTCTTGTGTGTTTGTGTGATTGTATGTTGGCTTGCGTGCTTGTTTGTTGTTTGTTGGTGTGTTGGATTGATCAGCACCTGTGCCAAAAAGGGCTGGTGGTTTCCGGGGGAAAACAGCCACCCGCCCTGGTGTGTCGCTTTCTGTAACTTTGCTTCGTTTGGTTAAGTTGCTGGTTGGCTGGACGGCTGTGTGTTAGCTTCCTTATATATGTGTTTGGTTCATTGTTTATTGTTTGTTGATTGCCTGACTGTGTATGTGTTTGCTTGTTTGTTGTTTTGTTTGTTTGTTTGTTTGTTTGTTTGTTTGTTTGTTTGTTTGTTTGGTTGGTTGTTTGTTTGTTTGTTTGTTTGTTTGTTTGTTTGTTTGTTTGTTTGTTCATTGCTTGCTTGTTTTTGCTTGTTGTTGTTGTCGTTGTTGTTGTTGTTGGTGTTGTTGTTGTTGTTGTTGTTGTTGTTGTTGTTGTTGTTGTTGTTGTTGTTGTTGTTGTTGTTGTTGTTGTTGTTGTTGTTGTTGTTGTTGTTGTTGTTGTTGTTGCTGTTGCTGTTGCTGTTGCTGTTGCTGTTGCTGTTGCTGTTGCTGTTGCTGTTGCTGTTGCTGTTGCTGTTGCTGTTGCTGTTGCTTGTTGTTGTTGTTGTTGTTGTTGTTGTTGTTGTTGTTGTTGTTGTTGTTGTTGTTGTTGTTGTTGTTGTTGTTGTTGTTGTTGTTGTTGTTGTTGTTGTTGTTGTTGTTGTTGTTGTTGTTGTTGCTTGTGTGGTTTGTTGCTTGCTTTTTTTTGGTTGGTTCTTCACTTGCTTGCTTGCTTGCTTGCATGCTTGCTTGCTTGCTTACTTGTCAATGTTTGTTTGTTTGTGTGTTTGTGTGCTACTGTGATTGATTCTCGTGTGTTCGTGTGTTTGTTTGTTTGTTTGTTTGTTTGTTTGTTTGTTTGATTGTTTGTTTGCTCGCTCGCTCGCTCGCTCGCTCGCTTGGTTGTTGGCTCAATGATTTGACGAATTCCCTTGAAAACCCAAAACCATCCATGGATATGAGGCACCAAATTTGTGGGTACTCTTCAGGTACGTAAAATGAAGTGAGACAAGACCCAGTTCGCTGATCGAAAAACGGAATTGGAAGCCCTGAACTCTGTGGGTGTCCCCAAATGCCCAGTGGCCATGGACAACAAAATGGGGCACCCTTTTTTGGTTGGTTGAGTTTAAAGGGGCCCCCTTCCCCCAAAAAAAAATGGAAAAAAGGGCGCCACTAGGCAACCGGAGTCCCTTTGAACCCTCCAAAGGACCGCCGCCCATGAAGAACGGCCGCTTCGCCTTGGACTCGTCGTCGAATCGAATGCTGCCGCCCTGGCACGCCTAAGCTGAGCTCTTTCCAGAACCCTTGGGCTTGTCTCATTCGGAGAAGCCCTAAAGCTTCGGTGTCGCTTTGGTGTTCATGTTGAAACCGCACCAAAAAGGATCTCCCCCACCCAAAAAAACTACACCCATACATGTGCCATGGTCAAAGCTTCAAGTCTGTGGGTCATATTCGCCTTTGGAACCTTTAATTACATTGGCTCTCTCTTGGAGCGCCCACAACCCTTGGACTGTTGCTACCAAGATGGTTATACAGGTTATATGGGTGTACTGTATCTTTTGGTTGGGGTTCCCCTTGCTTGGTGGTGAGGCAAACCAAAAGGACAAACACTCATTTTGGGGGTTCCCTACAAAAAAGACACACCAAAAAAACATATTGACCCTCCCCCAATCATTGAAGCTGACCGGACGGGGTGGAAAGACTGCCTCCGGGGCCAGGAACTCAGCGCTTTAAAAAAACAAAACAAACACTCCATATATATATATATTATATCGATCAATATGTAGCCGTAACCCCATGCTTTCAGTCGGAGACAGGCACAAAGAACCATGGGTTGGTGCACAAGCTACCATTGAAGGGCCACGCTGCATCGAAGGATAGCCGCACTGAATACATTTGGACGGGCAAGCTCGATCGCCTGGCTTCCAAATACACGCCTCGGTCAGTCACAATGAACCACACCAGGCCACGAAAAGGCAGCGTAAAAGTCCTGGTGAGGCATCGCGAAATGCACATTGCCATTGCTCTGAGAACAGTAGGGCAACGATGGCTTCATAGACCCCAACAGCAGTCATCTCATCGACACCCCAAACCCTCCCCCTTCGTTTCTCCCCCCGAAGAAAAAAACAACGGATTTCGGGGCCCTCAATATAGGGCTAACCAATTACCCTTAATCATTCTTATGTCCATGGATCAAGTTTAGTTTAAAGTACCCTACTCCCCATTCTGAAATTTGGTAGCCGCTTACATTTTCCAGTGCTTCCATTTACCTGTATAGTCGGTAAACATGGGAGCTGCCCTTTAAAAGCCAACAGGAAAGTCTAGGTCCTCCAGTAGAGAGGTTAGAATAAGTGTACCCTTTTTCTGTAGCCTATTTTAGTAGGGGAACCCTCCCCCAACAAAGGCTGGTAACCTATCTGGCTGGTGAATTGAATCTTCCATTCTGCTCGTTTTCTCGTGTGGGTAAATGGTCATGTCCCTGAAACCCAGCCAGCAGTGGCTTGCTTCGGCTGGCTGGGGGGCCAACCCTAGTTTTCCCAAGATAGAACCTTGGTAATAACCTACTTCAGGGATCCTTACATTCTACACCTGAACATTGCCTTGTAAATGGCGGTTTCCCTTTATTTTGGTGGCAAAAAAACATGTTTCAAATCGGCAAAATGTATCTTTTGAGGAGCCCTGTACTTACTACATCCATCTACTGACTCCCCCAGAAAGAAATCGTTTGTATCCAGTGACAGGATTCCTTCAACACCTACAATAAACAATTCCTCAGTTGCCCAAAGGAGCCACAAACAAAAGGTTCACCCTTTGGGGCCATGAATAAGAAATGACCAACAGGGGGAAGCCAAAAGGTCAAACGGTCGATTCGCTGTGGGCAACTGAGATTCATTTCATCAAATGGAAGACTACGTAACCTGGCCTGCCCTCAGATCCCCTCAGTTTGACTTGTGGGTTGGATACGGAAACTACCACTAAACGCTACAACGGTTGTTACTACAACGATCTGAAAAAAACTAAGGAACCGGATGGCTGGGAGCCACCAAGTAACTTGAAGACACATGTTGACCGGATTCTTCAACTGTGTTTAGAAATATGGGGCTGCTTTTCCTGGTTTCAGTTGGGTTTTTAGGAGTCTTGGAGGGGAACACCCCCATAGGGGTCAACATTGACTTGGTTGAACGCTACTTAAAAAAGTTTATACACCACCTACCAACTGGAGCAGGATATTATTCATTAACACTATGGGTTTGTCTCGGAGGGTAACACCTCAAATTGGTGGTGTCCATTTGGTTTCCTTTAAAATCCCAAGAGGGGTAACTCGGTTGAAGTGGTTTTGATGAGTCGCAGCTACGATCTCCTGAGGCCTCCGCCAAGTTGGCTGAGGCAATGGAGGCTGGCAGCCGGATGTTGACCACAAACCTCAGATTTCAAGATGCGCCCTTGAGTGGAGTTCTCAAATGTTGGTTGATTTCTTTGTAGGTACGTTCTTCGGCTTAACAATGCATTTATGGTTGTTGTTGGGTGGATGTGAAAGTTTGTCCAGGGACAACCGAAGCTCCCTCATTAGATACGCACCTCCCCCCTCCTAGCGTCCAGTACCTCCATCTCCCCGAGTCGGCAGAATCGGCAAGCCCTTTCATACCTTGAACACATGGAGCACAAACACGGCTGCTCACAGGCCTCATCTTCCTTCAGTGTTGAATCGGCCAACCCAGTGGTTGATGATAGTTGAACCTCGTTCCGGTTTCGGTGTACGGGATCCAGGGTCTGGTTGCTCAGACACATCCTCGAATCCTTTGGACAAGTCCAGTTTAGTCACGATAAAGGATAGGAGCTGCAGTTGATTTCGTTTTTCAAGCACGGACTAGAAAATCCCACATCTTGCAGTACTCCAAATGACGCTCGGACTTGCGATGTCTACGGGAACCCGGTTGGTACTTGATGTTCAGTCCTGCTGCAAAATCCATGGGCAACGACCCCTCCAGAAAAAAAAAAAAGAAGAGGAGAAACAACAAACAAAAAACCAACACCACCCCTGGCGCCACCAGGTTGCGGGACCAAACTGAGACGCTCGCTTGTCAATCAGCATCTGCTTGTTCTGCATGGTGATCGCCATCTTTGGGCTGGCTGAGATCTGGCGATCAAAACGATCGGATCGAAGCCCAGGCACATGGAGCACTGCACGGATGAACCCAAGTGAAAATCCGGCTTTGGCAACTTTACCCACATGATGTCCTGTCTTTACCCGCATGACTGAGCGTACATGGAAAGAAAAAAAGGCCAGGGCGAGGGGAGGAAGAAAAAAACAGGCTGGATGTTGCTTGGTAGATAAACCAAATGCCACCTTTTGCCCGCCGCCGTTTCTTTGAAGTTGGTGGATGTCCAACTGCCATTCAAAACGCCTTAGGGATCCAAAGGGCAAACAGGCAACAACTACGTCTTTTCCAGGCGAAGGTTCTCGTCGGAAAAAAAATGTTTGGATTGGGCTCTGTGCCACTGGCAAACAAACCCACGGGAAAAATGGAGCTGCGGGTGACTCCCCAATCGCCAATACTCACTTTCTGAGAGAATTGGGTGGTCTCCAAAAAGAAGTATTTCAAGACCAGGAACTCAGAACGTGAGAATACTTGAGTGAGAATCCACACACGATCTACCCAGGACCATGTTTCACGAGTTCAAAAGGCGGATAGCCGCACCCATGTATGCATCTACAAACCCTTTATTTCTCACTGCTAAGGCTCATCTTCTCCAAACGTGAGTGCAGAGAGTCTACAAACCCAGAGGGTCCAAGTACCTCATATTTACAATTTGGGGTTTGGTTCGTTCGGGAGTTCGTCACACGCAGATTCCTCAAATCCGGGAATTCTTTCGGTACGTAGGGACCCTCTGGGACAGTGAACTCGGTTGCTTTCTGCTCCCCTGCTAAAAGTTTAACTTTCAGTGGTTTATATAATGGAACATCCATTAGCAAAAAGTTAAAAGTCCTAACATCCCAGCAAGATGCAAGTGAAGTAACCCCTGGTTCGTTCGGGACTCCGTCACATGCAGATTCCTGAAATCCGGAAATTCTTTCGGCACCCCAAGGACCTTGGCACCTTGCCTGCACCTTCCCATGGTCCGAGTGGTAGTTCACCGAGACCGCGAAGTGGAAGGGCAAGTTCATGGTGGTGTCCGGAATCCAATACTGGCGCGTTGTTGCGATCTCTCCCATGTTGGAGTGGTCAAGTGTGGGCAACAAGAAACACCTGGATCCATCCACATGTGTTTTTGTTGTGATTTTGTTTCAACAACCCTACATCAATGAACTGCTGTTTGACTATTCAGGGGCAATCCTTTGACCCATCAATGCGGGCTTGGCATTGCTAGGCCGGCAGTCCTGATGTTTCCCCTTTGACTTGAACATCAAACCCTTACTGCACACAAGGACACACACTTGTTCGTTGTTGTTCTTTTTGTTGGGGAGGAGGAGGAAGGGCCGGGGGCGGGGGGCGGGGGGGGGGGATATTTTTTGTTTTTGGTGGCGGCTTGCCTGAATTTCAGGGGAGAGAGGCTTTTCCCCCAGCTGAAAGCCATGGGGGTCTCTGCAATAAGCTCTGGGCTGGTGGGCTCCGGAGATTCGGTTCTTGGGATGTTGGGCATATCACCTGGGCCTATTCCGCCAAAAGGGGGACATATACTTGAAGGGCGATCGGTTACTTCGTAATTGTCCGTATCTTAAGTGAATAACCAGGCTTACTATCCACTTGCTACCCTGCCCCTTTAAGTACTTACAGTGGCAGTATAATTGAATGTGGTTAGTAAGCCTAGACCTAAAGGGGTAATAAGTTGAGTGGGAGTGCTTTGGGGAATCAAATCATGGGCTTCTGAACGGTGCGACATGGATATCGCAACCATCCATAGTATCGGGGTTGCAAGGCTAAACCTTTAGAACCATCATAGAATCAGAGGAAACATGTGGTGGTTTAGAACCCCCCAAAAAGGGAAATCTAGGGAACCCGGTTGCGTCTCTGTGCGTCGCGCGAGAAAGAAAAATCGCTCGAGCCGGCGAGGCCGTGGCCAGCGAGAACTCGCCGTCAGGGGGGATGAAGGACAAGGCCTGGGGCGATGGTTGAGGGGTCTGCATTTAATGTGGCTTCCTCCCTAAGAAAACCAACCCCAAAGGGCCTGGCATCCAGTGATACGGCGAGTCCTTTCTTTTTGTTGGGGGGGCGACTGCTTTTGGGGTTGGCTGGGCTTGTCTCAAAGGGAAACACCTAAAATGGGGAGAAGGGGTCTCCAATTGGTCAAAGGGGTTTGTCTCAAAGGCCGTCTCGCATGCGATGGGTTTGTCTCAAATGTCTGGGCTGTCCGTTTTCCCATCCCCCAGCCACAGCTTAACTTGTGAGTTAAATGGAAATCTACCCACTAAACACTAAAAAGCAAAAAAAAATACCAAAAAACACACACACAAAAAACGGATGAACCGGATGGATGGGAGCCACCAAGTCAAAGGGTAACACCTGAAATGGGGGGGTGCATTTGGTTTCCCAAAAAAAACCAACCCCCAAAGGGGTACCTCTGTTTTTATTGAGGGAACTCCCCCCAGAACCCGTCCTGCTAATACTGTGGATGGACAAAAGCCTGCACCAGTTGGGATGGATGAAACGCCATGAATAGTGGTATAAACCACCTACCAACTGATGCAGGATGTTCAAAAAACAGTATGGATTTGTCTCGAAGGGTAACACCTCAAATTGGTGGTGTCCATGTGGTTTCCCCTCAAAACCCAACCCAAGGAAGAGCCCATATCACTGACTCCTCAACTCGGAAGCTTTCTGAAAGATGCCTTAAACCAAGTGGCAGGGTTTTTGATGGGGTAGACTCTTTGGCGTCAGCTTCCCTCTAATTGGCTGGTTGGAGCCCTGTTGTTTAGAGGCTAGAGAGAGGTTTCCCATTTCCACAAAAGCCAGGGGTTCAAATCCAAATTCCAAAGCACCCATCCAAACCACCAACGAGGGGAACCAACAGGGTTTGTCTTTTTGTTGCGGGTATGCCATGTTTTGTGGGTTTGAAACGGAAACACACAGGAAAACCACGATTTTTAAGGGCTTCCACCAAAAAGAAACACACTCAACTTGAGTTCGGTGGTTCCCCGGTTTAGCCTGAAACCTCCATGCAAAGGGCGCGATCGAATTGGGGGACTCGACCTGGACTTGAATGGATCGATTCCTTGCCTGAGCCTTGGTACCGCTTTTTTGGCAGGTCAAAGGCAAAACAAGGGAATCCATTTGGTTCCCACGTCAGGTGGAGGTCTGGGGGGTCCAGGAAAATCGGTTCTTTTCACACCCAAGAATCAACTCGGGGCGTGGTACGGGAAAAAGGTCCCGGGGTCTGCATAAGCCCCGATCGGACTCGGGTACCCAAAATTAAAGGGTGGCTCCGTGTTGACATGTCAAGATGAAAATCAACAGGTTGGAACCTTTGGTGGACATCATTTGCATGAAGATTTTGGTCCGCCGCACGGGACATTGCAAAAGGTCTCATTTGTTTACGTCGACGTTTGATTCATGACCTCCCAAGTTATCATTAAGCATAGGAGGTCTCTGGAAGAAACGATTCCCAACCAAGAAAGAACCCCTAAATAATAAGGGGCTGTGTTTGATTCCCATGAAAGGAGCCAAAACGGTAAGCTCGTTCTGCGCAAATACGTCGCCAAAAGCTCCCAACGAAAAGCACAAAAGGAACAAATGTGCCCGCAGCAGCAGCAGCAGCAGCAGCAGCAGCAGCAGCAGCAGCAGCAGCAGCAGCAGCAGCAGCAGCAGCAGCAGCAGCAGCAGCACAAATTTCGCAGTTTTTGCCTAAATCTTTGCTTATGTTCTGAAATACGTCGTAGGCAACCGAGCACGCGTCCAACCAGCAAGCCGTTTCCCCGTTTTGAGTGGAATATCGAGTTGGACCTTCCCAAAAGTGTAAACATCCCTGAGGGGCTCCAAGCTGATGGTCAAAGCTGGTTACTGGCAAGCCCTGGGTCCAAACCGTCCTTCAAACAATGTTGGGCATATGTAACCACCATCTCAATTACCCTAAGGACCCAGAAACAAAAGGTCAACCTTTTATATAGATCCCTTTGGAACTAAACACATGGACCAACAAGGGCAGACCAAAAGGTCCAAATGTTGGCTTCGGGCAAGTGAGCCATTGTTAAGTTTCATCTACATTGGGACCCCTCGGGCCATTCCTTTAATGCAGACTGAACCCCACAAAGCTCATAATACTCATGGGATCATTGTTTTCCTCAGGAGGAATGTAGAGTCCACCACCATATTTCCGAGGGCCAATGTAGGTTCCACCTCAGAACCATATTTCCTGGACTCTCTTAAAGCTGTAGCAATCGCTTTGGGGTGCAGCCTGGCTCCACCCACACGCAACGCTCGGTCCGGCCTTGTCTCTCTGGAATCGCGGGAGTCGTACCTACAGAACTTCGCCCTAGCTCACGACGCGTTTCAAAAACGGGAGACTCTGCACACGAAATCTTAGACAGGTGTGTAGATGTTCAGACAATCGATGTAGGTATTGTATACCCACATTTACCCCATGGATACCTTGATACAATCCCACTATGACAAATGAGAACCTCTCAAGACCAGTTGGCATAGGGCTTGAGTCGACTTTTGGATTGAACCCGGGGTTCCCACTTCAACTAGGTCCTCCAGTAGAGAGAAGTTAGAATAAGTTGGTACCCATTTTTTCTGTGGTCTATTTTAGTAGGGGAACCCTCCCCCAAAAAAATAAAGGGTAAAATGGCACGATCCTGGGGGACCGCGTCAAGTTGCACATCCATGTCGTTTTCGAATATCAATCGCCGCGAGGATCCAGCCGCAAACTTGAAACTGGGCGCCCCCGGCGCAGGGGTGAAAGGAGGCGTTCTGCAAGACCGCCGGGTTCCGCAGGGAGAGCAACACCTGGGGGAGCTTCCAGTTGCTTCCATTTGAACGCCTTCGGTTCCTGGACAAAATGTGAAAAACATATGTTCCGTAGTCATAGGTTTCCTCTAAAACCCACGGGCACAGGTGTTTTTTTGTTCATATTCTTTAAGCAAATGGATTTTTGATGGCTTCCCAAAGGGGAGACACAACCAAAAAAAACAAATCCCAAAGGCAAGCGTCAAAAAGGAACCACACCCAAAAGGAGTATAACGAATGGGTGTTGCTGAAAAATCGGGAGCTAGGGATACGCAGGTTTTAGTTTTTGGTGCCATTTCCAAGGTGCCGGTCTTGTACATTTGTTGAGCCACGGCCAAATGGATTCTAGCATGCCTGTCTAACTCACTTCCCCAGCAATTGGCCCTGGAGCTGTAAGAAGATGTAAGAAAGGATGTGAGCAGATTCCTGGGCATTCCTCCAATCTTCCCTGCAAAAGGGGGGAAAGGGGACAGCTTTTCCATTTCCTTGTGCAGGTAACCAAGGAAACCCACCCTTTCAAAACCGACAGCAGGAGAAGGGCTGGGTACGAAAGTGGCAAAACGCCTGGGATCTCAAAAAGTCATCCTCCAAAAATGGAACCATCGCCCCCCCCTCAATTCTTTTTGGGCTCCTCCGATACATTCGAACATATATTCGAACATATGGGCGCCCCGTTTTTGGGGTTGATTTAGCGCACGCTCACGGGCACACTGAGGCGGAGGGCACTATCCTGGTAGATCCTCACAAGGATATGGGTCAAAGCGAAATCACCAGGATATGCACTGAAGGTTGTAGTCCTTGCTTCCATTTTCCAGGGCAACCCATTGTTGGGGGTGCTCAATTTTGACCCACACCCACCATGATTAGACTTAGGCCCAGTTGTACAATGTATATTCAATTGTTTGCTTCCCTTTGAGTCACTGGTAAAATGTAAAATGTATCCTAAGTCTAAACCAGCCACAAGGTACCAAGAAACCTTGTTGGCAAAATTGAGTCACTATCCACCCCCCGGTCGGGCGATCAAATGCTTTGAACGACCTTCGGTGATCCTCAAGATTCGGTGGTTTTGTGCAATTAAACTAATTATTTGCTGGGTCCTGGAACTTGGTGCAGAAACCCAGCAAATAATTAGTTTAACTAGTTTAATTAGTTTCCCAGGGGGTCCAAAATAAACTAATTCCAAATCCTCTAAAATGATCTGGGTGGCCCTCTCCCCGAGAAGGCACGCCACATTTATAGGACCCGGTTGAATTAAAATATCAAAGGGTCCCTCCTCCCCCCAAAAGGAACAAGTGGGTTTTTTTGGGTTTCCCTCTAAAACCACAACAAAAAGGGGTATACTACTGTGGATGGACGAAATCCTGCACCACCTAAGAAACCCGGGTGTCTGATGATTACCCCTATAAATAGCAACAAACCATGGCTCCCACGTTTTTTTTTGGGGTGCGGGATTTCGTCCACACACAGGATCAAACAAAAACCAGACCTTTGCTGGGCCTGGACACTTGCGGCCCGCCTCCGGAACGCCGCTCAGCTTGCTGTTGATCAAAACTTCTCCGCTGACGCCCCCGGAAATCTGGCGGCGTCCCCGAAACCGAGCGCTGGAGCAATGGCAAGCGTCGACGCGACGCGGAGTTCGCCAGAAAGTCTGGCGCCTACACGCCCCTCCCGCAGACCAGCATGGAAGCTCCCAGAAGGCCTCTGTAAATGGAACCAAGTCTTTCAAAGGGGTCCGGGGAGCTTCCATGTTAGTCCGGGCGAGGGTGAACATTGTACAAACTGACCCAGTTTGAGCCCCAACATCCCGACAAGGCACTTTGACCGGGGTTGACAAGAAAACACATTCTGCAGGAAAGAAACAAGGTCGCTGGGGGGAATTGTGCGGCTGAATCCCAGAGATGTGCTTTTGGTCGACGGCCCTTTCTGAAACCGTGAAGCAGTCCCCCTCAAAAGCCTTTGTCTTGACTTCATTGTTCGTGGTCAGCGTGAACAGGGATCCTTACATCATACACCTGAACATTGCCTTGTAAATGGTGGTTTCCCTTTATTTTGGAGAAATAACCATGTTTCAAATGAGCAAAATGTATCTTTAAGGAGCCCTGAACGTTCATCATTTTAGACAAGGGCGGAGATGTACCATGGTGCCAAACGTTGACCACGTCTTTTGTTGCGAGTGAAGAGTTGTCTACCTGAACGCCTTGTTTAAACGTGTAAACGACACATGCTGTATCAAAAGTCACGTGAAGCTCAACATGGTGTGCCATGTGGCCTCGGTATCCTTTTTCGCCTTCAAGGGAGACCAAGCCTGCTGCAACCTGATTGGGCATCGCACAGTAAATGGCACATGTAGGCTCTTGGGGAGAATGGTCCAACCACCCCCGCGCCATGTTCCATCTGTGTTCAATTGCCTGTATACAATTCAACAAGGCAAACCACTAGCACCAAGGATACCATCTGACATAAGGATTCAGGATTGAGTTGGACCAACCCAGTGTGCCAATTCCCATTGTGCTGCAAAGGCTTTCCCCAAGGCGTTTGGGCGCTGCTCTGGTGCGTTTGACGTGAACCGCCCATGATAAACAAGCCTTGCAACTTCACAAGAGCTGACATCCAGGTTGGTCAGCTTGCTGGTGCGGTAGGTAGGGAATGTGGGAATGAACCTGGGGATTCCCACGAAGAAAACCACAAGGGATGGTTTATAAGGGTTAACGGATATTTTCTCATTCCCTGCTGAGCATCAGCAAGTCAGAGCAACTTTGAGATTTGTTTGACTCACGGCGGGAGAGGGTCTATAACTTGTCATGTACCTCCACCCATTTTGTCTGCCTAAGTACATCCTTAGAAGGTGCTTCTCAGAGTTCTGAGCTTTTGTTTACCATCCACTACTATGGCTGTGGATCAAACACAAATACCCAAAATGGAACCCTGAATGAAAACCTGGCCAAACACCTGCGGTCCATATCCTGATGGTCTACACTCAGGGAGTGAGACCAGACGGTGCATGCTTGGATGTTCGGTTCGCCAAGAAAGAAATGTGGTTCGCCATCTGCTTGGTTGACGTTGGGTTTGGGGAGCAAAAATTATCAAATTTTAGCAGTTAAGTGGATTTGGATTTCAACTACTAAACCACAATAAGCAAAAATGTAAAATGTTTCACAACAACAACCATGTCCGGGTTATAACCCACTAACACCAAGCTTGACTCCACTTAGGGGAACTTGCAAGCGGGTTGTAACCTGCGTTACCAACAACATGCTACTTCCGAACACCCGAGTGGTGTCAAATCGTGGCCGATGCCGGCCATGTTTCCGGTGCCGTTGCAAATGCAGCTGACCGTCTCGACAATGTCGACGTACACCTGAGGTCAACTGGACCCTCAAAAACAGGGAGGCCTGGTATTTTAAATCGTGTAATCAGCAAAACCCGGTGTAATATGTACCAGCGCACCCTTTGTGCAAGAATAAGTCTCAGTCCCACAATTCTGGATGCCCACAGATTCGGGCACCAAATCGACACCTCCGATGGCATTCACGACAGAAAGCCTTACATACAGGAGCTGGGCACGTAGTAAGTGGGCAAAAACACGATTACATCCCACTTACCATGGATACCTAGAAACTCCGTTGGCGGAAATTTCCGCCCGTTTCCTCAAAGGCAGAAATTTCTGCCGTTGTTCGGAAACACACCGGGGATGGGGGAAAACGCCCGAGCCAAGGAAAGACGCCGTCGCCGCAACGCTACAGTTAGATGCCCACGATGCACTCAGCCCTCAATGCTTGCCAATGCTTTGGCAATTGTCCCAACTGACGCACGCTTCAAAGGACGACGCCACCAAACCATTTTCACCCAGGTCGTCTTGCCAGCAAAGGCTGTGAGAAGGTCTAATTAGACTCAAACGATTGTTTTCCTTGCCCACCCAGCATGTCTCGGCGCGTCTCGGGCTATGGCAGACACCCTGCAGATCCATGGCAGGCTTGCAGTCAGCCATGCAACTAAAAGGATGGTCTCAAACGCTGATCAATGGGGGATGGACGTCCACTGTTTTTCGACCTGGGGAATTTCGCCCGGGGAATTCCGCCCGTTTTGCGGGGAATTCCGCCCGCGCTCCGGCCCAGAAAGCTCCAGACATTGGACAAGAACACGTTGCCAAGAGTGTCCGGCGTGTTGTGAAGGCCTAAAACAACACCAGGCATTCCCAGAAATAACAAAGGAATGCTCGCCTGTGAATATTCTGTCGCACCTGCGCTTTCCAGGATCTCCAAACTTCCCCCATCCATGTGGGCATCAAAGCAAGCCATGGGTTGATCAGAAAGAAAGAGATGGAAGTCCAACAAGCCATCAACGGCAGGGAACACCATTGAATCGCAGTTCAAAGCGAAAGCAGTGCTCAGAAGTCCAAGCGAGTAGGACTGAGCGATGCTTAAGGTACCTCATCGCGAACAAGCAAAAAAGGCCGGCGCCAAGTCAAAAACGCCGTCACGAGGAAAAAGGTGCCTTTTCCCAAAATGGGCGGAAATTTCTGCCGGAAGGATGTTCTAGGTATAAGTCTCCTAAGTGGATTATAGCCAGGCTTACTCACCACTTCCAACCTTGCCCCTTTAAGTACAAAGTAAACTCTGGAAACAAAGCTGAGGCTACAAAACGCATTGCGCAAGCCTACCTCAAAATGGGGCAGGCTTCCTCTTTGGGATTCAGGCAACCACCCAGGCCTGGAGAAAAACACCTGCCACTCCCGGTTGACAGGCCATTCAAGAAAAGCTTGGCAGTGCAAGCCTATCCTTCCAATGATTTGTGTCATATCTAACCAACATGAGCGGTTTCCTTCGAACGCCCTTGTCAACCAGGCCGGACGGGTGTATGCAGGCTTAGCCAATAGTTGCTAACAATAAGCGTTTCTCTAGTTGGTGGATTGGATTAGTGGTGTGAAGGTCGCATGGGGTGGTCTTCCAGTTACCCACAAGAAGCAGGGGTTCAAATCCCAACCAATTCAAACCACCAAGGAATAATGTTGACCCCAGATTAGTAAACCCGTGCTATTAAGAAGGGTGTGTTCTCCAAAGTAAAGTGGTCTGATGCCCCACTAAACAGGGGAACACCCCCCATCAAAGTCAACCGCCGCATGTTTCATCCGGGGTTCCCATTACCTGAAATAAAGGCTCCCACCAGAATCCCAAGACCGCTTTTCCACCCACCCGCGCACCTCGTTGGAGCCATATGCCACATTTTGCCGCCGCCACCACACCTCTGAGAGACGGCTGAAATGCGAGGCTGCGGGATCCGCAACACCAGGTCTGCCACCCGTTTTTGGGGTAAGCTCATGTTTTAACTACAAGAAGGCTTGGTAGATGACAAACCAGCTCATGCTAACCACTGACCAACAAAAAGGCTTGGTACATGGAAACTGAGTTGCCAAAACATACGCTGGAAGAGCTGGGTATTTAAAGAGTTAATGGACTGGGTGCCGAAAGCTCCATCATGACTCCGAAAACTTGGAGACGAACCCGCGACAAAGCTGCGTCGTTAGGGTACAATTGGATTCCTGCAATTGCTGCATCTCCCTGGCAGGAAAAAAATGAACTCCGGTGGTCATGTACATTCCCTTGAAAACCAACAGGGGCGAACTAAACATCATCTTAAGCAGTGGCATAAGGACTAATCATCTCTACTCTTGGTATGGTAGCAAAAAACTTATTTTTTGCAGACCCCCAGTAAAAATGAACAGAACCAACAAACTTACAAACAAACAAAAACATGTTAATAACAGTGAAGTAATGATTGAGTTCGACCAACCCAGTACAATTCCCATTGAGCCATAGAGCTGTTGTTCAAAAGGCGCCGTGGCTTCGGGGCGCCGCAGTACTTAGATGTTCGATTCGTCAGGTTAGAAAGTGGCTAGCCATCTCTGAAAATGACAACCCACCAATACCTTGGTTAACTCCACTAAGGGGAACTTCTTTACGCGGGTGGTAGCCTAGGTTGCCAACAACTTACTAACGTGTCGAAACGAGCACCCGAGTACCTAGTTTGATCGTGGGGGCTTGCCGCTTGCCCATCCATCCGCCATTCCCATCCGTGCGGCCGCCTCGGCGGAAGCTCCGCCGATGTGGCTATGCCTGAGATCGGGGTGAAACAACCCCCCCCCTCTGGCGGCAAGTTCTTTTCTGGGCTGCCCGTTTTCTGATCCCCCGCTAAAAGTGACCAACTTTCAGTGGGTTAAATGGAAACTACCACTAAAACACTAAAAGGCTAAAAAGCTAGGGGGATGGCTGGGAGCCACCTGACAGGTGCGCACTGGGGGAAGCATCCACAAGCCCTACCTGGATGCTCGAGTTGCCAATTTCGTAAGTGGAAAGGGCCACCTGGGTTCCAACCCCCCAATAATAAGGCTCACTCCACTTAAAAGGACCTATAAGCAGGTTATAATTTAGGTTACGATCACAACTTACTAACATGGCAACGAACGCCAAAGTGGGGGAACCTTCCAAATGCCCAAGAAGAGCACTTAAACTGTAGCCCCCAGGCTTCTTTTGACTTACTTGCAGAAATACAAGATTAACCTTTGGAGTCATGACAAAAAATGGGAACCCAAACAGGGGAAACCAAACGGTCAGATCCGGTCGATTTGCTTTGGGCAACCGAGTTGAGGCGACGCTTGGGCTTGAAAGCGAAACCAAAGGGACTTTTTGCTGAGGCGACTTAAATGGGCAGGGTACTCGTAAGTGAGCAGTAACCATCCACCAATACCGTGGTTATAAGCATCCTAAGTGGATCAAAACCAGGCTTACTAACCACTTACTCTCCTGCGGGTTTGAAAGGGACGCTGAAGGGAGCACGAATCACGAATTGGCCCGATGAGTTCGGGCCCGCTGGGCCCCATGCGTCAAGCCTCCCAGGGCAGAGGACAGAGCGCCGAAGGGGCCTGCCTGAGCTGCGCGGTTGCCAGTGCAGGGGTCCAAGCTGACATATACATATATATATATATATAATGTTCGTATATGCCAGACACATATTCGTATATATATATATATACATATGCACATATATGCGGCTCTGGTGTTTTGCAGTTGGTACCGGGTACCACACGCAAGTGCAGTATGCCTGGCTATCCACTTAATTAGGAGACTGAGAGCCATGGCTTGTGTGGGTTATAACCATCTCTTGAATTTGTTGGAGCTGTTGCTTGGCGTTTAAGGGAAACCAAAAGGAACACCAACCATACATACACACATCACACGCATATATATATATGTAGATATTGCATGGACATATATATATATATATACATCAATGTGTCACGTATCGTTCCTACTGCTAGGCTGCGACGCACCCCAATTCTTTTTCCCTTCTCATCATTCATAGTCTGCACTGCCCGTGCCTGTAACAACCCTCATCGCCTGAGGGATAATGCTTTGGATTTCCATGCATCTCCTGCATGGACTGTGCTTAGAGGGGGCCACCGGTCAACTCCGGTTGGGATGCCTCTAACATCCTTAAAAGTTCCCCTCCCCTCGAAACAGCACAGTGCGCCTTTGCGCAAACCCCAGTCCCATCGGGACCTTCAAAGTTGTCGGCTACTGGACGCCAGGCCAGACAACTAGGGTGGGTTGGGTGGGGAAAACCAAAAAGGTGTCTGCCAATTTGGCTCAGTCTTGATCCAAAATGGCAGACCCATAACAATTGATGATACATGTTCACCCAATGCCTGCCAAGCTCTAAACATGGCATACATCAATGTGTCACGTATCGTTCCTACTGCTAGGCTGCGACGCACCCCAATTCTTTTTCCCTTCTCATCATTCATAGTCTGCACTGCCCGTGCCTGTAACAACCCTCATCGCCTGAGGGATAATGCTTTGGATTTCCATGCATCTCCTGCATGGACTGTGCTTAGAGGGGGCCACCGGTCAACTCCGGTTGGGATGCCTCTAACATCCTTAAAAGTTCCCCAATGCACTTCATCAACTCCCAAAGCACTACAGAAAGCTCGTCACCGCGAGCACGGCACGAAATGGCAGCTTCCACATGATGGGGAAACAGAAAGCAGTAGACATTGAAAAATCATTTTGGCGGGCCCATGGGTCCTGCCATCCTAACCGAGAAATCGCATCAGACCAGTTGGATTTGGAAGGGATCCACTCCCAATACATCCAAACTTTCAGCCCAAACAAAACTGTGTGTATCACGTGGGACATTCGTTCCAGATCAGGCTCCCTGGATCTACCACGGATTAAACACATCAGGGCTGCGGTGTTATCGATGTACCACACTCCCCTCCGATTACGGAATGTATCCGGTCGGCAGAGGAGTGCGTACAACACCATGGACAGCTCCAATTGGGCAATCTTCCGGTCCCCCGGAGTCCACAACTGGTAAAGCTCAAGTGGGATGTCGGCTACAAAAGCTTCCCGTCGCTCGGCGAAGCCGTCGGCCCACACCATCAGGAAACCTCCCGTCCCCTGACGAGGGCTCTCAAGAGCCGCATCCGAAGCTATCACAAACCTCTCACACGGCACTGGTAAAACCTGAAGCACTCGGCGTGGCTGGGTAGCGAAAACTGCTTCTAGCAACTCAAGGCTCGCCTTGATAGGCTCAGTCAGCTCAGATGATCTCTCAGCCTGCCGCGTCTTGATGGAGCCCAATCCGCCGCATCCCACGCGGCCATAGACTCCCATCTCCAAGAAGTTAGCCAGGCCGTAGATCTTGGCCGCGAGGCCAGGTGCGAGTCTCCCCTCGTTCCTGACCTTCTGGATCATCCCGGACATCTTCTCGTGCAGCCGCTCCCGAGCCCAGAAAGACACCACGCCGTCGTGCAGCGCCTGAGATAGGTCGTGGTCAAGCCCCAAAAAGAGCCCTTGGGCTGCCATAGGCTGCTTCTTGTCCTCGGAGAATGGCGTGCCCAGCAGCCGGTTCAGCTCTTCCAGTGCCCACTGGCCGGAACCACCGGCCGATCGCCAATCCGTGATGTGGGCGTCATCGAAGTAGAACGAAACCAGAAGGGCCAACAGTCGTCTGGCCAGCGCTTCCGCTAGCCTGGAGTACCGATTGAAACTGGTCACGGCCAACGGCAGGCCAAAGAGCAGCCCTGCGTACCGCTGAAACGCAGGCGCCCCCCAGCCCTGATGCCAAAAACAAACGATGCAACCCCTGGCCTCCTCACTGCTCATAGGAGAGTGGCGATAGGCATCTGGCCAATCCTCCCCGCCGGACTCCCACGAGTCACCCTCGCGGGCCGAGCGAAGTTGGCTCTCATCCATGCGTTGCATCACCGCTGCAATGTGCTGGGCTGGTCGCAACGGTGAACAGAGGACTAATTTATTGGCGTCCGATGAACGGAGGGATTGACCCCCTGTGTCTGCGTTGTCGATCACACGCTGTTTGCCTGAGGACTGTGTGATGACACACCTGGGTATGAGTCGGAACTCCTGCCCTTTGAGCTCCCGCTGCAGCTCGGACAGGGACATCGGGGCTGCGTCCTTCTGCGACTGCTCCAGCAAGAAGGCATCATCCTTGCCCGGGCGCAAACTAGCTAGCACGAGCCGGTTGTTCTCGCCTGCCCCATCCAGGACCTCCTCAAAGGTGATCCTCCGCGCGTCTTGCTGGGGGAACACGCCGTAGTGGGGGGCATAGCCGACTGCTGGCAGGCCCACCACCAGGCCATGGGGGTATGATACGTCGGGCCACGCCAGCAATATCACCAACAGGCCCAGCAAGCCAATGTCCCTTTGTGCTGTCACTGCTTGGAGGGCTGGTGCCTGGAATTGCCTCAACTGATCATCCACTCGCTTCCATCTCTGCTTCAGCTCCTTGACGGCCCCGATGGCTCCACGTCGCATCTGGCGCAGGTCCCCCCTGCGTGCCGCCATGACGGAAGCCACAAACTGCAAGTCCTCATCCATAACTGCTTCCTGCTCCGCAGCGAAGTGGTCGTCCGGATTGGGTACACCGGAGATCAGCGGGGGCAGGGCTGCCTTGTGGCTCAACGCACCCGCTTGCTGCCCCTCCGCTGTGCGCGACCGGATGCGGACCCCCGCCGGGGCCGTGGCAGGGCCCAGGGGACCATCCCAATCCAGATGCTGCCCGTTCCGCCACTCCGCATAGTCGATGAAAGGAGACTGGTTGATAAGGTCCTCAATCATGGGGAAGCGGAAGCCCGTGAACCAGGGCTCAGGAAAGAGACCCAAGAAGCAGTTCACCACTGCCTCTTGCGTCCAACGCCTCCACGGCACCGCTCTGGCATCCACTCCTGGCAAACCGCCCCATGCCAGCAGGACTCCTCGTCTTGGCACTCGTCGGTTCTTCCGCCGTGCTGGCTGTGCGGCCGACTGCTGGACACACTCCTCAAAAACCAAGCCGGCCAAAATGTCAGCCTCGCACACCTCCTCAAAGCTGCAATCACAGGCCAGCCTCTTGCCCATCAGCTCTGGCAATCGCTCATTCAGGCCTGACTGGTGGACATACTGCACGAAACGTGGGATCCACTCGTCCCACGAGCAATCGTGTCCCGGCACCCACGGGCATCTCCAGTCGGACGTAGGGACTCGATGGCTGTGATGCCCTCGTCCAACGTAGACCACGTCCTCGGGTAGGGTACCATCTTCGTACAGCACCTCAAGGATCACCACTCGCCGAGGCACCGTGGCGCCCGATGCCAGCGGGGGCGGCTTGAGCCCGAGGCTCACCGCCATCGGTGCCATGGCCCATTCGCGTAGAGCCCGTCCATCGAACTCCAACCAGTGCTCCCGGCGACCTACCGTCTCAATCGCTGGCATCCGCGGGACCGTCAGGCGTGCCTTGCCGACCCTGGCAGCCCACCACGAAGCCGCCACCGCGATGCTGAACGCCAGCGCTGCCGTGTACTCCGCCTCGGCCTTGGACCACCTGCCATCGGAACTCTCCTGTGGTTCCCACTCTCGGGGGTGGTGGGTATGGTGGCACATCAAAGGCGGCCACTCCTCGATCTCCTGGACGTTGTGTCTGAGGCACTGGAGTTTGCTCCTGGCTCCCGCAAACACGCATGCGGAATATTGCGTGTCCTTCCACAGTCCGGACTCCATCATCGCCTGCTCCTGGGGGAGGTACCAGTGCAAGCTCCTCCATGGGTTCTCCCGCACGGAGGCCCCCCCTCCTTCGGCGTGCTTCTGGTTGTCTGTGTCCACCCGAGCCTGGTCCTTGATTGCCAGCCCTGGTAACCCCAGGGGCTGGTCTGCTGACCGGAGGGGCTGGGGTGCTGGTCGCCCGTCGTTGAACTTCCGCGGAATCTCCCTCGCCCGCGACTTGGTGGAACAGTCCATCGCGGCCGCAATGAAGTCGGTCTCCTCGAGCTGGCCTGCCAACGACTTTTGCCTCAGGGGGTTAGACAGGTCATGGGCGGGGTCCAGGAGCCAGTCCACGGAGACGGTGCGCCATCCACACCACAGGAAGGCTTTAGTCAACGGGAGATTCGGCCCACACATGAGGTCAGCCATCAAAGGTGGCTCGCCACCAGGCAGCGCTACCGCAGCGGACCCAGAGGATGCAGCTGCCACATCATCCTCCGGGCCCCATCAGGAGCCTTTCCCCTTCTTCCCAGCGCGACAGGTGGACGCTCCGTGGTTGCTGCCCCCACAGACGCGCTCCCCCCTGGTCACAAGGCCGCAGCGGTGAGCCCCCTGCTGACACTTGGTCGCCTTGCAATTGCCATGCTGGAATGCCTGGCACAGGGTGACTCCATCCTTCAGCACTTTTGCCACCGCCCGACCGCCAATCGGCTTACCCAGCTGGAAGAGGGACGTACTCGGGGTGCTGGTAGCCACTTTGCCCACAGCCGGAGTGGCCGGCGCGGCGCTCCCCTCGCCGGCACGCACCACCCAGTGCGTCCCGGGCCTCAAACACCTCCATGACCACCTTGCCCAGCGTCTTGGTGCTCTCGCGGAGTCACCCACTC